CGTAGACAGCTTCAGGCAAGTTGAAGCATGCGGCCACGCCTACCCGATTTCAGGGATTTCGAGTATACGAAGAGAGGGTCGTATATACAAGTGAGAATAGAGGAGTGTCCATTGAAAGAAGAAAAACTAGCCCTTGCCAGGGATTTTCCGCGTTATTTCTGATGTAGAACTACCCTGCAAGCATGATGGTGGTTATTTTTGTACTTTCTATAGCACCTTACTAGAAGCCACGAATCCTGCTTACCGCTTGGCCAAAGATCGTTGGCGGATGATTTTGTGCACTTTTCAAGAAAGACTGAAATTTAAAGGAGGTCTAGTGGGCCGTTCTCACGCAACGCTACGCAACAGCAGATACTGCGTAGTTAGAGTCTGTGAGTGGAAGGGGTTGGCGAGAGGGGTGGGGGAGGGGGGAGGTGCAAACAAGTGTATTGAGGTTATGGTAGACAGTCGTACCGACCGAGCGATTTTCCCCAACGTGATGCTATGCTTGCCTTGCTGGCAGGTGGAAGTGAACATTACCTTAGGGGGGGGGCTGCAGCTGGGTAACATACGCTCCCACCCATTTCCATTATCATTCTTCTTGTCATTTAGTCTTTATATTGCACAAGCACATTCTCCCATATGAGTGCTATGTCTATTCGGTTCGAAGACGATGTGGGAGCTGGAGATCCATGCCGTGAATATGCTTCCACTTTCCTACGCCTGTGTGCGAGGGAAAACACTTGAGCTGGCTAATTCGGAATACAGATTGATCTTGTTATCGTAGAATTGACTTGCGGATGCAGTAGAGGTCCATTTGGAGGTCCTTCAGATGGGACAATAGCGCCAGCGTAGCTGGGCGGAGAGGAGGGGAGGGGGTGTGGAAGACCACTTGGCCGTGCCTCTTTCACTTAATCAAGGCCCCAGTGGCCGCAAACGATATCTCCACCGAAGTCACTGAGCGATAGTCTCGCAGAAAAGACTTGTTCCCAGTGAGCCTAAACCTTAGGGTTAGGGGCACAGAGGCACTGCCGGGTGGTCCACCCAAACTATGTTAGCGGCTAGACGTCATAACACGTAGGATATTACGAGGGGTGTTTAATGTATTCTCTGTATTCGTTAGAAGGAAAAGGCAGAAAATTCTGAATAAAATTTGTTCTTCATTGTGGTCCCCCATAACCTCAACATACTTGTTTCTCGGGAAACTAACTTTTCAATACCCTTCAAAAAATATTTTTCCTTCTTATCCCTAAAATGCCCGTTAATTGCCGCCTTCAGCTCTTCATCGTCAAAAAGCGCTTTCCACGAAGATCTTTTTTGGATTGGGGAACAGGAAGTAAAATCACTAACTAAATTAAGTTTTCTAATACATTTTCTCTAATTTATCCTTGTCATTTTCTCAAGTTGTTGAAATCAGACAGTGTATTTTCTTTAACATTGTCACATCAGTCATTTTGGTCTTCTTCCCACAAGAATAAACTAGTTTAGAGCTATAGCTATAGCCTATAGCATATAGCAAGTATATAGCTGTATAGTAATTCGATGATAGGGGGGTGAATGCAATTCCGTATTTATACCTCCAGGGAGTAGTTCCCTATTGAAATGAATTAAATTTGCTTCGTCACTTGCTAATTACCCCATCGACCACCCCTGAACGGATCTCGACGGACCGATAATTTACTTCCGAGCAGCTGCGGTGGTAGAGCAAGTGGTAACCTCGGTGATCAAGGAGCAATATCGGCAGGTGTGCATTGTGAGGGCTGCCTCATTCTCCTTGCTCTGTTTCAGGAAGTTTCTTCGCAGCAAAGATTTAGCTTGGAACATGTTGCCCTCCTTTGGCTTTTAACGGAAGATTTTATCTTTTCCAGCCGAATAAATATGAATCACACCAAGGCATGCAAGTGAGAATACAAAATTTGTACAAAGATGAAGTTAAGTCCAGGTACATTTAGGGGTAAAAATTGAAGCAATCACATTGTAAACTTATTCAGCTATGAAACAATCATAGAACTTGTGAATGAAAATCATGTCATAGGATTTCACAGGTGACTATTCATTTTAGGTCAGACATGGCTATAAATCCCTCGAGTATAAGCTGATAATGAAATGTTACTAGTTCCAAGACTCGCGATGAAATTCAGTAACAAGAGACCCACACAGTGAAAAGAGACCCATATTAACTTGAGAGGAAGAAGGATCACCCCGAGAAGCTTGATTATCAATTGTCAATAAGATGATGACGCTATTGCTCCTTTCTGTCTTTTTTTGGATCATAAATCATGTGTAGTCTTCATTCACCTCTGTAATTAATCTGAATACTGTCGAGTTATTTCCTTGTTGAACTGTCACTTCGTATTGAATTGTTTTGCTGAACATGGATTCTTGTGCGTTTTCGATACATTTATCGCAATAATTACGTCCTGCTCCCTCGTTTCTGACAATAATGATGTTTAGAAAGCTGGGATGAGTTGATTTGAGTTGAGCGTTTTCGGATGAGCACTGAGGACAAACCATCGACGTCTAAAGACACGAAAATGCCTGAGAATGCAGCACCTATCGCTTCTGCGGGCGATGCAGCCGCTAGGTATGTTTTACTGCTTGACATTGTTTGAAGTACCAAATTTACAATATTTTGAAATCACTTTATTCGTAGTAAGACAGGTGTTGGTGAAGTTTTTATGTTCCACCTTGTTATGCCACCAGGTTTATTATTGGTGAACCTCGAGGCAGATCGTTGTCTTCAGAACCTAAAGATGGCTCGTACTCCTTATTAGCAAAATTACCCGACCAGAGCGCCCCATCATGTTGGTCTTGTAGCAGCACATCCCAAAAGCTCCACATAGGAGACCTCCCAGCTAAGAAAACCCTCCTCCTCCAGGGTTCCACAGTTTTGAACCCACTCAGAGCACTGACTAACAAAGGATGAGTGAACTTCCATTGGCACTAGACGTCATCCATGAAAGATTGATGATTTCGCCGACCACAAAAGGGAATCAAAGGCGGAAATCACTTGTGATGGCCACGCACTCATTTCGGTTGTTCAGCTGCCAACTTCTGGCGGGTATAATATGTACAGCGTTCGGCCACCACGAATGATTTCCTGCCTTTCATTCGTTGGTGTGGTCTGTGAAATCACTGCTCATGTTCTTTTATGTACGGCGTCAATTGCCAATGATGTTCTTTCATCCCTTGTTGCTCAGTGGAATTTCAAAACCAATGGAACTGCGGAAGTTTTTTTCCCCGGGGGGGGGGGAACCATTTGGGATCTTGGGATGCGCAGCAACTAGCCTAGTGAGATGGGGCGCTTGGATGGGGTAAGTTGCTGATAAGGCTACGAGCCGCACTCAGTACCTGAAGACGACGATCTTCTCGAAATGTACGCCAGTGACAAACCTGGTCAGCACGGTAAGGTAGAGACATACTTTACAGCTGGCCTGATTCTAAGAAATCTAAGCTGGAAAGTATCTCCTAAATTTTTCGGTTTTTGCTTTCTTTCAGTCGTCCTTGTTGCAGCTTCGATACAAAGGCCTACTTCCTTTGCTTCTTGAGATAATAGAATTCCTAAAATGCATTCAGTTGAACTCTTTCATGTAGTAATAAGATATATTGGCTCGAAAAGAAATACTTTATAGACAAGGAGACCAAATAGAGGTTCTCGCTAAAGAAGCTGAGGAGTTGCGAAAGAAACTTGATCAGGAACGTCAGAAGCTTAATGACATTCCTAGTAAGTTATTGGAGCACTTGTAGCTGATTATTTTTAATTGAATCTGAAAATACATGCTAATTTCTGCTTATTTTTAGTTCAACAGGCGGCAGAACGTCTGGATCCACTGCCAAATCTAGGTATCAAGCAAAGACGGATTTTGAAAGGTCATGCCGGTAAAGTGCTATGTATGGATTGGTCACTCGATAAGAGACATATAGTTAGCTCGTCACAGGTTATTCTTCTTTTTTTCTAATAATTTGATACTCTTCGGGAAGGGGGGGGGGCATTTCGCACATTTGCTGGCATTTCATGAGCTTACTAGAGTGCCTAGGTTTTAACATGGTGACTCGACGATCTTGTCCAGTTTCACAAGAGTTTGCAGGTTTCACCAGAGTGAGACTAGTAAACCGCAACTAGTGAAGCAGCAGGAGTGCAAAATGTCCTTCCCCGTCGTCGAACTTCGCCAGTTTATACGGCAGGATAAGTAAAAAATATATAAATAATTGTTCTTTCTGTTCAGGACGGCAAAGTTATTGTATGGGATGGCTTCACAACGAATAAGGAACATGCTTTGACAATGCCAACCACATGGGTGATGGCATGTGCCTATTCGCCTAGTAGTCAGTTAATAGCTTGCGGGTTAGTTCAATATTCTGTCCATACTTTGCGCTTTTATTTCAGAATAATTGTTCTTTTTAATTTTTCGTCTCAAAATGGTGTTTTCAGAGGATTAGACAACAAATGTAGCGTCTTTCCATTGTCGTTCGAAGACGATATTCTACAGAAGAAACGTAGTGTTGCGACTCACACGAGTTATATGAGTTGCTGCATGTTTCTTCGCTCAGATAATTTATTGCTTACTGGCAGCGGCGATTCTACGTGTGCTATATGGGACGTGGAAAGTGGACAGGTATGTAGTTCACAGTCATTTACTCTTTTCTTACCCTTCTTCAAACATTCGGTAGTTCTTTCCCTTCCAGCGCTAGCCCTACACTTCGCTCTTCGGCTTGGGGAGGGGGATGTGAATTTCGCACTTCCGCTAGTCTCTTTTGTTAGGTACTACTCACATACGAGTATCACTTATAGAATATTGTCAAGTGTAAATAGAGCTCCTGCTATTGTTAGGTCTGCAGGAGTTACCATCTTAAAGCAGTGGTGAATGAAAATCTGTAAAGTGCCCCCCCCTCCCAAGCCGAATTGTTTTTTTTTCTCTACTTAAAACTCCCTTTTACAGTTTTTTTTTCTGTTTATAATACTTTGTTGCATGTTAGTCGCTTATGTAGAGACTTCTCCGAAAGGTTTCCGACATTAATTTCGAAGATCCCGATTTTCTGAAGTAAAGGCCCCTTCATTTGCAAAGTCGTAGAGACACGCGCGACTAAGCACTGGAAAAGTTTCTAGGCCTGGCAGCAGCCTTACGTTTTTTTTTCTTTATTTTCCGTTTTGGGAGGAATATTGACAATTTGAGGGCACAAAATAACTGTTGGTAGAACCGGAATTGGTGAGTTCCAAGACCTGGAACTATGTAGCTGTCTATGAAACTTCGTATTCTTAAGAAATGAAACCAAAATAAAAACACTTTTTGCGCGAAACATTCTATCCGGCTATGCCAGAAACCTTTTTTTTCACCTTCAAATATTGTGAGCATTTCTCCGTACACCTTTGCGGTTTTGATTACTCAACGCCGTTGATGCCCTAGAAGGTTCCTGTTCGATATTCATTAAAACCCTTCGAATGGGTAATCAATATTTTTTCAAATACGGAAAGTCGGTCATGCTTGCTAGAGCTTTCCTTTAGCTCTCGGGAACTGTCGTAAATAGCCTAGCAACGGAGCGCTTTATTAGGTAAAGGGAAGGTGGCCGGGTGATGCGGCTGGCATCAGTACTGGGCCGCAATGGCCATAAATGCCCCATCCGCCTAGCCCGTGAATTTTTACCTTATTTTCCTATACATTCGTCCGCACCAGTAAATTCTCAGTTGTTAAATTGTAAATGAGTCATTTCATATCATCATCTTGGTGTATAGGCTTATAAGTTCGTCGGTACGCATGTCGCAAAGAGAGGATCAGTCACAAGGGACCGGGTTACCAAATAGGCAAATCACTGGTCCAGCCTTTCTATTGAATTTGAGTGGTGCGGACGAGTTGTCTATGGCAGAAGATGGCAATGCCAAGAACACGTCGGAGGTGGCAATTACGACCAATGCGTCCTAGTACTAATACCAGCCGCAGAATCCGTCATACACCTTAGTAAACAAAATAAAAAATAAAAAAATAAATAAGGCCTTTGGGATCCTTTAAGACAACTATCTGAACAAAACTTCAACCCATGAAGCGGATGTGTCATAAAAAGCATATGGAAATCGAAGTTCGAATAGCATATTCTACCCAGGAATTTAGAACTGTTTCCCTATGACTTGGGTTTTCTATACAATCCTCCATATTGCTTCGTGCACAATAGCTCGTTTGGCTCTAGCGACGAGCTTCAACTTTTTTCATGGGATGGGAAACGCGAGTTCGTCATCAATGGCTGTCACTTTTCTAATTCTATTTCCAACACCCAACTATACCGAGCTGCTGTCAAGCGGCACGCAATCTAGCCAGCCGTTCGATGGTAATTCACTTTGAGCAAACAACTCTTCCCTCGCTTCTTTTCTTGGCATTTTTGCGTTTCATTGTAATTTATTATTCTCATACCTTTCAAAACAAGGTTTTCCATTGCCGGTCAAAATGGCAATGGGACAGGTCCTCTAGTAAACGCTTGGAAAACTTGTGGATCTGGAGCAAGCTTGTCGAGCCACCATGCTAAAATCTGTCAACTCTGTTTGGTCTTTTCAGATGATCCAAAACTTCCATGGTCACACTGGCGACGTTTTCGCGATCGATGTGCCGAAATGTGACACTGGTAATGTGTTCATTTCAGCAGGGGCTGACAAACACTCGCTTGTGTGGGACATTCGCACAGGACAATGTGTACAGGTATTCGTACTTTTTCTTCGCTGTCTTCATTACTGCATGATCCACCACACAAAACCTTCAGATATGTCCGGCTCTATTCAACTTTTACTACCTCAATCTTCGAGAATCCCCCTTTTACCGATTTCTATTCTACGACGGCTGGAATTTTGTTTTCAAACTATAGTTCGGTCTCCTAGATACGAATATCATCCGCTTGGTCGTAAACCGCCTAGCGCTCGTTACACAGGCGAACGCCAAAACCCCTCAATTGCCGAAATTGATGGAAGCTCGTTTACATGGGTCATTTAACATCTTGAACGTCACGGATATGACATTCATTCTTGGCGCCGGTGCTAATGCAGGACACTGCAATAATTTGCGCTCTGGAGCCTGATCGTGGCCTAAAGGGTATCTTTGCTTATCCCACGCTCAGCCTGAGCAGAGCGCTAAGTAGCATTGGTACTGAAAATGAATGCCATATCCGTGATCAGGGCTCATCAACCCTTTCATGCAAGTTTCATCAATTTCGTGGGAAAGGGTGTGGCGCCAAACTGGCGCCCTATGGCGTCAGATGGCGCCAGGGCTACAAATGAATGTCATGTACGTGATCAGAGTACCGAATAGCCCACTATGGAAGTTTACACCGATTTTGGTTAGAAAGGGGTGGCGCCTAGTGGCGCCAAATAGGACCAGCATCAAAAACGAGTGACATACTCGTGATCAGGGCACCGAATAACTCATGTAGGCGGAGTTTCAGCAGCTGTTTTTTTCTGAAGTTTTTGAGGTAGTAATGGTTGAATAGTGCCATATGTCCTTTTTACTCTCTTTTCTTTTGAGGAATATTTTTCCTCTGTTCTGTCTTCACACCTGCATTATGAGTCTGTTCGTCATTCAAAGTGACCTTTTTTAAGTCCTTCGAAGGCCACGAAGCGGACATTAACACGGTTCGTTTCCACCCGAATAGCGATGCGTTTGCAACTGGATCCGACGACGCAACGGTAGGCACAAGTTTTGATGGCTTTGGTTGCTATATTTTTTATATTAATTTACTTCATTACACGAACCCCAGGTCCCTTGAATATCCCTAATTTCATACTGATACTTTTCAGTCGTTGCAATGAATTGCTCGGATAGCTAGAAGTTTCTAAACGGGTTTAATTTTTTACCGAAATTCGTTTTTAATTTAGTGTCGCTTATTCGATCTACGGGCCGATCGTCAAGTATGTGTCTACGAAAAGGAGTCTATACTTTTCCCTGTAAACGGCGTCGATTTCAGCGTTAGCGGTGAGCAGTAGTTCTGAATGTGTTTATTGGTTCATGAATGATTCTTTTCCTGTAACGTTTCCTTTATTATTCTACGTTTTAAAGGCCGTCTTCTATTCGCCGGTTACGGTGACTATCGCGTCGGTGTGTGGGATTCACTTAAATGTGTTCGTCATTCGGTCCTCTATGGCCATGAGAATCGGATCAGCTGTTTACGCACAAGTCCCGATGGGACCGCAATATGTTCTGCCAGTTGGGATTGCACTATCAGGGTGAGTAATACTTAATTTCAGTCAGAAAAATGCAGACACATGGGCCTCGCAGTCTTCTTCGGTGGGTGGAAATGAGGCTGTGGTGCGCAGTTGAGGGTGTGTTCCTGACTTTTTTGTGACGTACACATGAGAATTATCAGTGGAATGTGGCTCGAACCCGCCTTTCGTGGGTGTACTGCGAGCGCGCATTGTTTGTGGATACTTGAAGGCAATGGGCACGATGAATGGGGGCGGGCGGTTGCCTCCAACGTTATTGGTGGATGGGCTGAGTGGGCGCTTTCGCGGCCCTTCCACCAGTGACCCTAGCAACAGCCGCCCGCCTCAAGCAATCGTTCCCACTGCCTTCAAAAATCAAAAAAAACTTTGGTCAATATGGTTGTCGTTTCAGATCTGGGCATAATCATCTTCGTGTCTCCTGTTTTTTCGTCGCTCCCACTTTACCTATTCACTGTTTTGTGTTTGTTGTCTACGTGAATCTAAGTCATGTAAAGAAAACTATGCTGAAATACCCTCTAATTATTTATGTGGTCATAATTGGAATGTAATAAATATCTGACATACAAAAATATGACTATACAACGAAATACATAATTATACACAGACATACACCGGTAGGCGTGAGGAGACATGGTCTTGGTGACTTTCTTTCTAGCATTACGGTATCCGGTCGCGGTCACGGATTTTGATAATGTCACAAGTACAGGCGAAGGTTTGATATCACAGCACGACTATTAAAAGTGGTTCCAGCAAGTCCCGTTGGTAAGCTGGTAGCTAACTGTACGATCAGAATTTACCTGTTGCAGGTTTTTTCGTAAGCCCTAGGTCCAAATTGGCTGGCGCAATTCGGCGACGGGGTGGGAACATTGTGCCTCTTTGCTACTTCCCCTCGACGTGTCGAGCCACCTATAAAGCTGCTTCATGTGCTCGCGAGAGTTGACAAGTTTTATCATGGCCCAGCCAGGCGCAGTTCGGCGGGGGGGGGCATTTCATACTTTCGCTGTTTCTCTAGTTCCGGTTTCACAAATCTCACGTACAGCGTGTGATTCTTGTGAAGCGTGAGCAGGCAGCAAGTTTGAGCCCTGGTAAACCTGTCAACTCTCGTAAGCTCATCAAATAGCTCACTCCAGATGGCTCGACACGTCGATGGGAAGTAGCAAAAGTGCAAAACGCCCCTGCCCCCGTCGCGGAAGTGCGCCAAATGGCTTTTTTATGGGAAGAACGCCTGCGGCATTTGTTCGCTCGTTTAGTACAGCTTCATTCGGACCCGCTAAGCGCAGCATGAAGTGATGCACTACGGTTTGATTTTCGTTGGATGTGATAGTCATGGTTCCGTTGCTCTACGTGGCCAAGTTATTTTTTGCAGAAATGTGGTCTACGGGTGGCGAACCTATGACTGCGACCAGAAATCCAGATTGCCGGGAATTATTGCAGGGTGGCACCTTCACAGTGGCAGTTGCTATCCAGAGGTTTACGGTATTCACATGCTACAGCTACGACGTGCTAGGGGGTGGGGGCATTTGCATGGGCTTAACACTAATACACAAATGCATTTGAATGGTTCCTAGTGAGTCTTAGCGGATACCAAGTGGCCAGAGATGGACAAGATAGAGGAGGAGAAATTGGAAATTATTACTACGTTTGAAATCCATTTCTCTAGCGCTGAGCTTTCGCACGCTCTTTTGACTGCTCTTAACCCTTTCCCATCAAAGTTCCCCATTCATTACGACCCTTTTGAGGTACTACCTAATCATTTTGGCCATGTAATCAGCTTCTAATCAACAATGCAATCCCTAGCGATTGTTTCCAGTACATCGTGGAATTTGCCAATATTCGAATCAGTGAACACATGTTCCGGTGAGCCGACGATCACTTCCAGTTCAGAACGAGAGATGGGGTACTGAAAGCATGAAATAAAGGGTATCACAAGAAAACAAGGTGTAGGAAAAAATCGTAGTCCATCTTTGGACGGTATACGCAAAGTATCTCTGAGCTTCAGATGCTAACAGGTCGTCCCTTAGAACCGATAGTAAGAACTCTCTTCCTTTTTCGATAAGTGGGTATCAGTGTTGCAGGTAGGGACGATAGAAAGACTAGCTTAAACACCAGAGATGTGGCTCGTAAGATCCATGCGGCGTCACTTGCGATCAGTCC